TGGCGCTGAACAACATCGCTGGCAAGAGGGAGAGGATCAAGATCCTATTCAAGAAACGTGAGCGGGGTCCCGGGGAGGGGGAGCCGGGAGGAGTCGGCCCTGGGGGACCCCCGTGCTGCTCCAAACAACAAAACCCCTTCCCCACCTCCCAGCCCCCCTCCTCCTCCCCGCGCGTTTGGTTCTCGTTGATTTTTGGGGCCTTATTTTGCGTGTTTGGCAGAAAAATAAGTTGATAGAGGTCGCTCTGCTCGGGGTTCTCCGATTCGGCTACTGGGGTTGGGAAAAGGGCCGCCGCGACCTTGTTATTCGCTCGATGTCCGTCGGCCTGTGCCAGTGCCGCGATTTGCTGCGCCTGGAATGCAGTCCCTGAGGGCTCTCGGAGCTCCGGAAATTATTTCCTGCGTGCTTGGATTTGTTGTCTATGCTGGAGGAGCTCTGCTCTGTATGTGTGGTGGGAGCAGTGAGGATCACACGCAGTGGGCAGACCTGGGGAGCTGCCTCCAAACTGAGGGGTGCCTTCTCCTGCAGAGCCACCCTCTTGGACAGGTTTTGGTGTCTGGTGTCACAGAAAGAGCAGAAGGGTTGTTGTGGTCTGAGACTGCCCAGTGTAAAAGTGTAAAGCACGTATTTGTTGATGATTTTAAAGACCAGGATGGAGGACTGTGGGCTGGTTTTGTTCTGAGGGCGGGAGCAAGCAGATTTCGCTCACCTCTGGTATTACTATCCAAGCAAAAAGCCAGTGTCGCAGGTTTCCCTAACAAAGGGTGTTCTGGGCTTGAGCCATTTGTCAGTTCTTGCTCACAGTGCTCTGAAGTCACATATTTCCAAGTAGCAATCAATTAACTGGAAAAGGAAAAAAAAAGCCCTTAAGTGAGCAGTGTTCACAAAGGAATCTGATGTGTGGCACAGGGGGAAGTTGCACTTGTGTGTGCAATAGCGTCTCCCCTACTTCTTGTCTCCAAACACTCCAGTTGAAGATGTAATCAAGTACCTTGACCCTCAGTACATTGACAGGATGGCTGTTCCAGACGCCATGAAGCTGCAGTTCATCCTGGCAGGTATGGCATGAAACAAGGGGAAAAAAGAGGGGTTTGTAGCACTGCAAAAAGTGTACTTTACCTGAGATGGGTCAGGGTGGGTTTCTTTCCTTCGGTTGTAAAGTTGTGGCTCACGCTTCCTGGAAGTCTCGGAGAGATGCTGTGTGCAAGGATATCGGCACTGCAGTTTTATCAGCTCTGATCTCTCTGATCGTTCAGTTTGACCCCGAATTAATTCAAAGGCTGATCAGAAAAGCTGGAGCTAGAATGGTTTTCCTCACCCCGCTTCCAGTACTCTCTCGGCAGTGACAAAAACAGAAGGTGTTTGGGTGTGTTTCAAACACCACCAAACCTTGTGCTATTCTGTCCCAAGGAATTTGATTCAGCCTGTGATAGTATAGTCTGTGAATGGGACTTCAGAGAATTGTGCAGTCATGGAATGTTAAGGCTTTGGAATGGATGTTAAAGCTCATCTTGTTCCAACCCCCTGCCATGGGCAGGGACACCTCCCCACTAGACCAGGTTGCTCAAGGCCTTGTCCAGCCTGGCCTTGAACACTTACAGGGATGGGGCATCCACAACCTTCCTGGGCAACCTGTGCCAGTGTCTCACCACTCTCGCAGTAAAGAATTTCCTCCTAATACCTAATGTAACATTCCCTTCTGTCAGTTTGATCCTTTACTCATGGTCCTATCACTACAACTCAGTGGAGGTTCTCCTGCCTGAAATTGGAGTGAATCAAGACCCAGGGATGAGCAGCACAGAAGTCTTAAATAAAATCATGAACAAGCCCATTTCTGTTAAGATAGATCAGCTGGAAAAGATAAAGCTATTTGTGAAAAGCCAAAGCACCTCATGTTTACTGGCATTGCTTTTTGTCCCCCTCCTCCCACCCAGAGGAACAGGCTATTCCTGAACGTGCAGCCCTTCTGGAGCAGGTGAAGAACCTCCAGCCCATCTTGGACAGTGCCAGTATCCAAGGTATGCATGTCCTTCCACAAGTTTGAGCTGAAAATGCCCCCCTCCAAGCTGTGGCCTGTCCTATTTTCTGGGGTGTTTTTTTATTTGAGCCTGAGACTGGAGAAGAGGACAGCACATGGCCATGTGAGAGTGAGTTAGGTACGAACTTAGTGGTGTGTCTGCCCCTCCCTCGTGCTGCTCTAACCTGGTAGAGGTAGAGATGCCTTTTCAGGTGCTTTCCATAATGTTCATCCAAGTGCTTTACTCTGATGTAGTTCTTGAGTAGCCCTCATTGTGGGCACCTGCAAGCTCATGCCATCCAGCAGCACTGAGCAGATAAACTCGGTGTTTAATCTACAGGGTAGTGGGTAGGTTTTTTTAATCCTATAAAAGCTATGTCTGTGGTGTGTGGCACTGGCATTCAGTGAGCTCTGCTGTGCTGTGCTGGTGGAGGAGGAATGCTCTTTGTTTTGGGAACTGTTCCTGTGTGCTATCAAACCAAAAAAAACAAAGCTGATTTTACCTCTGCTTTCAGCGGTTCCTGACCACGCAGCCAAACTGCAGCGACTCTCACAGATCCACATACAGCAGCAGGTACTGTAAATATTCCTATCAGTCGTGCCTAGAAAGGAGGAGGAATGTCTTGCCAGAGGCTGGACTGACACCCCTGTATTTGCAGTTGCTTGAATTGCTCAACTGTAGTAGTGTTTTTTCAATCCCAGAACATGCATACTGCAATCCTAAAGAATTTCAAGTACTCTGAGGGGGGAAAGGAGCCTGGATTTCTGGCAGTGGAGTCTGAAGTGGAAAATCACTGGAAATCTGCTTCCCAAAACTCTGCTCGAAACAGAGCTTTGAGTGACACATAGTGTGTTTAACCATCTGACATGCCCCATTTCACTGAAGTAAAGCATTGCACTCTTCCAGTGTCCTGGTGTCTGGAAGGCTGTTGATACTGTCATACTTCACCCTTTCCTTCCCTGTGTGAGCACTCCTGGAGCTGGCACTGAGTAGCCTGGGTAGTGTCTAATGGCCCCTTCCAGTATTTTGCTGTGAGTTTCTACTCTGGGGCAGGCAAAGCCTGGATGCTGAGGCGAGGCAGCAGTGGTGCAAGCCCAGGGCCTTTGGTGCTTCATCAGCACGGGTGTTTGTGGCCTTCCTCTTGACTGTGGAAACCTTTCCAGCTGCAGTGAGCAGCCACAGCTGGTGTCTGAGCTCTAATCTCAGTACTGGCCTTGGATGAGTTTCTCCCTTGTGGTTTCAGGATCTGGGAAGGACAGATGTCCTTCAGCTTATCTATTTCTCACTCACTGTGGCCCTCCCTCTTTGCAGGAGAAGCGTTATGATCTCACTGACAGTGTGAAGACACTCCTGGAGGGCTACAACAAAATGGTATCCTTTGAGCCATTGGGCTGACCTGACCCTGTCCCCGAGCTTCCTCTCCTGTCAGGTGCTGTTGGGTCCCCAGCCCTGGGTTTAACAAGCAGTGCCCTTCCTGATGTGGTGGCACCTTTGTCCCTGTGACCTGCCTGAGCCCGTCAGCCCCTAATCCTGGCTGCGTAGGATCTCAGTGCCGAGGCACATCCCAAAACCACGAGTTGGTGGGGAAGCTCTGCTCTTTGCTGTAGACAGCCCTTGCATTGCAGTGGCACAGGATGTTCAGAAGTGCCTTCTGGACTCAACGTGGGTGTTTGGTGCTGTGCCTACAACACCTGGATGGTTTGAGTCCATGTAGGCTTTCAGCAGCCCTGGGCCTCTCCCAGCGATTCAGGATTTTAATGGTTCTGTCAGGATGCTCCGCCCTTGGCTTCTTCCTTGTGATTTCTGCTTTTCTTTCCTTAAGAGTAATGTCTAGACCCTGCTTCTCTCCAAGCAGTTTGTGCAGTGGAATGAAATACTGACACGGCTGGAAGCAGCCAAGCAAGCGAAACCGGTGGTCGAGTGACAGCAGAGCCGGGAGCACGGACAGCCCAGGGCCCCATGGCACAGCCTGCATCCCGCTGGCCCTGGCACCTTCCCGCTTGGCCTGAGCATGCTGGAGTGGCACCGCGGCCTCCTGGGGACACCTGGCTGTGCTCTGAGCTGTGCTAGCCAGGAACTGAAGCCGCACTGCTCCTTAATCCGCAACTGTTGCAAATCTTGCACTCCCCTGAAATGTGTCTTGGTTTGTAACATATTTAAAAATCCCTTTCCCTCTCACTGTGGTCTGTAGTAAAGTCCTGGAACGCTGACTGGATTGTGTCTCTCTCCCTGGGTGTAAGGACTGCTCCTGGCACAGACGGGGGGGGGGGCTTTCCCAGGCAGTGATCTCCTCGCAGTCTGCAGGAGGCGCTGCAGGAGGCGCCTTGGCCCAAAGGCAGGTAAATCCCTTTCATTCCCACAGCCTTCGGTAGACTGGTACATAAACAGGAGCTCTTCCTGTTCCTGTGAGCTGTCTGTGCCCAGGAGCATCTGGCCTCATGGAGCTTTTCCCCCAAGCCATTCTCCCATTGCTGTGCAGAGAGGAGGCAGTGGCTTTTGCCCTTATCCTGCCCCCACTTTTCCCAGTGGCTGCTGCAAGCTGGACCCCGTGCTGGCTCTTCCCCTTTTCAGTGAGGGGCACGAGCTGTGCCTTGCCTGGTCTGGCCACAACCCGGAGTTTCCAAGTTGCCTTCAGCTTAGGGAGACGCTGCCCAGCTGCTTGTGACTTGGGAGTCCTGCAGGGATGGGGCAGGATCCCCACAGGGAAGTCAGGAGGAGCTTCCTGCCCCTGTACTCTCCCTGGTCAGCGAGCTCACCCGTAGGCACACCACGGCGAGGCTGCACGGGCTTACACAGGAACACCGACTGCACCTGATGCCCGGGAGAGCCGGAGCTGCCCGGGAAAAAAGCTGGAGCTGTCCCGAGAGAGCCGGAGCTGCCCCTGGCCCCCCTCCATTCCCAGCGCGGGGGCGGGACCGCGCATCGCCCCGCCCACTCCTGACGTTGAAAGGGGCGTGGTTTGTACGCCATGCCCCGCACGCGCTCCCCGCGCCTGCGCGTCCGGTGCCGGCCGCCATCTTGAGGTGAGGGGCGCGCTGAGGCGGCCGCAGGTGAGCGAGGGGCTGGGACACCCCCCCATCCCACAGGGACATCCTCCATCCCACAAGGACGTCCCCCTCGTCCCACAGGGATATCCCCCAATCTCACAGGAACACCCCATCCGTCCCACAGGGACATCCCCCGTCCCACACGGACGTCCCCCCGTCCCGCAGGGATATCCCCGCTTCCCGCCGCGGTGTCCCGGCCTCCCGTGCGGCCGTGCGGGGAGTGAGGGCCTCGTGTTCCCCCGTGGTGCGGAGCGCGGGCCCTGGGCTGCCATGTCCCTTCAGGTGCGGGTAGATCGGGGCTCCTGAGCCCCCGGTTGACCAGGTGCTGCGTGCTTGAGTACCTTGAGCGGTGTGTGGGGCTCGGGCGGCGCAGCGCATGGCAGAGAGGGGAGTGTGAGACTGCACCTTTCTGTCTTTCACTTTCCTTCGAGGAAACTTGTGTTTGTTCCTGCAGCCACTGGTTTGCCCTCTCTCCTGCCAAATGCATTGTTGTACCCTACCCTGCACTGCCAGAGCCCCACGACCTGTGTATGTGACACACACGAGGTGCTGCAGTGGGGCTGTGCTCACGGGGTGCAGCTGTGGGAGCATCCCCCTGGCTTCTGTTCGCAGGAACCCCGGCTCATTCGTTTGTTCTGTGTTCTCCTGAGATGCAGCCTGTGTTTGTTTCCTGTTCAGGCCAACAGCGCCAGCTCTGTTCCCTTCACCGCCTGCCTGCTGGGGCTCAGGCTGCCCCGTGTGTGTTCATGTTGGAGGTACACACTTATAAGGACTGAGTTAGTCTTTTGGGTATGGCTTTCCAGGATTCCTGTCTCTGACAGCTGAGAGTGCCTTTCAGAGGAGAGGATAATTTCTTTGTGCAAGTTACAGTGGGAGTTTGTGTTCACGGGTCTCTTTTCCCTTTCAGCACTGCACAATGGAGAACTATAAGAAGACCAAAATCGTGGAGAAGCCTTGTCCACTTCCTTTCACTGACCTGCCTGCTGATATTATTGAGATGAAAGTGAAGGATGGGAGCAAAATCAGGAATCTGATGGGCTATGCCATGAGCAAGATGGAGCAGGAGTCGGTGAGGCAGATTCTCTTCACTGGCTCGGGCAAGGCTGTCAGCAAGACCATCACCTGTGTGGAAATCATGAAACGACGGCTCAAGGAGCTGCACCAGATTACCAAAGTGCTCTTCAGGCAGATCGAGGAGATGTGGGAACCCATCGTGCCCGAGGCAGGCCTTGATGCCTTGACAGTGAAGAGGAACATTCCTGCCATATGTGTCCTGCTCAGCAAAGATCCCCTGGACCCTCAGGAGCCGGGGTACCAGGCTCCAGGATCCTTTGATGCCTTTTGGACTGAGACACTCACAGCAGAGTCCCAGGGCCAGATGAAGAGGAAGCAGGGTGGGGGCCGGGGCACTGGGAGCACGGGGAAGCACCCGCGCTCCGCAGGGGCAGCGCCAGGGGAGCCCTGAGCTCAGCCTGGGGGGCTGCAGAGCTGCTGCTGACACGGATCAGGGGAGGGCAGGACTCCCGAAACTGCCTGTGATTGTGGCTGCCTGAAACTGTGTTTTGACGAGTTTGCTTGCCAAAGGCTGCCAGGCCGTGCTCTGTAATGGGCTGGGGAAGGCGGGAGTTGCCTCTGCGTGAGCAAGGACTGTTGGTGTCCTGTCAGCGAGCCCCAGTGGAGGGGCTGCTCATGCAGCCAGATTTTGGCTGCCAGGGGATGCAACAGCCCAGGCTGTTGACACCTGGGATAGACACCTGGCTGTGTGGCAGGTACAAAGGGCAGGTGGGACCTGACATGGAATTCCATTGCATTCCCAGGGCTGTGAGATGGGAGACAGGGCTAGGTTGGCCAATTCTGTGCTTCAGAGTCTGTCTGCTGAGCCTGTTGGGGGATTGAATGTAGGACTGGGGAGGTACAGGTCCATCTGCCATTGTGTGCGTGGAGCTCCTTTCCCGTTCCACTTTGGCTCTGCAGAGCCCATGGTCGCTCCTCTCTCTGCCAGCGTGGCAGCACTTGACTTGTGCCATGACCAGCCTGAAATCCTGTGCCACTGCCCTAGGGTAGTAGTAATGGGAATCTCCAAAGAATACTGTTCTTTCCCCTTACTACTTTTTCATATTGCTCAAAGTTGGGTTCAAAATAAAGTTTCCCTTCACCCAAGTTGGAAATTTGTCATTTCTACCTCGTCCCACTGGAGGTCACCCTGTGAGCGTTGGTGGTGGGGCCGCGGCTGCAGCTGCTCTTCCAGCTCTCAAACTGCTCCGTGTTTGTTCCTCTTCTGACTGCAGATGGACCCTAATCTGAGAGGAGTAGCTTAATATCCAAATATTAACCTCCTTTAATATCCAAAAAAGGTCAAAGTTGTGGGTTTTTTCTGGGAAATTTTTTGAGTTTTTTTGTTTTTGTTTTTTTTGCTCTTTTAAGCTGACCAGAACTTCAGTCTCTAAAAGACTTATTCCAAATTCTGCTGAGCGAGGCAAAGAATGTATCACCTTTTCTTAGGCAGTAGTTTCCCTTCTGGAACAGCTCTGGTAAGTAATTCTGGGCAGGAGGGAAATGCTGTTCCCTGGGACAGGCTGAGCTCTCAGCAGAACAGCCCTTGCTCACACCGTGTCCCGAGCACTGCCTGTCCTGCCTCTGTCATGAGCTCCAGCTGGACCCAACGTTTTGCATTGTCAGTCAATGACTAACAAACATAAGTGTTTAAAGAAGAGATTTCAGCTAAATCGGGTCAGGAGGGATGTGGTGTGTTACTTGTGCATCCCAGAGACTTCACAGACAAGAGTTCGCCTGCCTTGTGTCAACGTGAGCTTTGTCACAGGCTGAGCACCCGTCGTGGCCAGGACAGTGCTGGGTTTACATCCCTCCTTCTCCCCTTCTCTTGGTGGTCTCACTGCTTCCTGCCCCACCAATGTCCCTGGACCTGGAGGGGAACTGTTGGACCTGTCCACTGTTCCAGTTTAGGTGAAGCCTGGGGATGGGGCAGAGCTAATCTGGTTTACCTGGGTGCTCTTTGCAGCTGCTGCTGCTCTCTTACATCTAAGGAGGAGACTGCTTTTCTTGACTAATTAGCAGATTAGCCATAAATGCCAAGGAAGATGCTCCAGTGTGTGATCAGATTGGTTCTGACATTTCAATGGGCAATGTGCCCGTGTTTGTTTACTCAAAACACCGGCTTAGTGGAGAGCCTGAGAACCAGGTCCTCAGGCAGCCTGTGTGAGCCTCCCTTGCGGTGGTGGCGCATTTAAGGCCTTCTCATCAAAGCTGCAAAATGATTGTTATTTTTGTTTCACCGTTGGAAAGTTATCCTCTGCTGACTCGGTGGCTCTCCTGTCAGGATCCAGCGTTTCCCAGCCTTCGCACCTGTGAGTGCCAGGTCAGCCAGGATGGGTCCCAGCTCTCTTACAGGTCTGCCCTTCACTCAATCCTTCATCCAGCTGTCTTTTTTTCCCTGGTACAACACACCATCTGGAGTTGCCCGGCCAGACAGCATCCCGAGGGGCTGCTGTGGATCCCCTGTGTCACCACCATGTGTCTGCGTCACCAGCCACTCTTGGGGCCTGGGCTTGGTTTTTCAGAGAAACTGCAGGTGCTGAGACCTGATCCCTGGAGTTCTCAAGGAATCGCCCCCAGTGTGCCCCCCAGCCACCTCCCCCCAGTGTCCTTCACCAGGTGTTCCCCCCCTTTGGGGTGATGCCCCACACCAGGGTGTCTGGCTCCAGTGTCCATATGGAAGCTGGCAGTTTAGGGGTGTGGCATGTCCAGGGTTGGGTTGCCCCATTCCTCAGTTCCCTCACTAACAGGACACGGAGAACCTGGCCGTGTGGATAAAGCTGACAATGCTCAGATTCCCAGATACTCAATGTCTCTAAATGTCCTGTCCCTTCCTCTCCGTGGGCTGTGAAGGGGACCCCAGCCCGGCTTGGCAAGTCTGTGCTCAGCATCCTCGAGCCCTGGCGTGCCAGGCCCTGGTGCATGTGTGTCCGTATGCCGTGAACATGTGTTTATGTGTGCACACATGTGCGCAGGGCAGGGCCCCTGGGACGGGGCAGGGCAGGCAGGGAGGTACAGGCAGGGCTGCACCAGCGGCAGCGGGAGGGCAGCAGGGTCAGTGGGGGCACCGGGGCAGTAGCGGCAAACACCGGGATCGGTACCAGCTCAGTGCAGGCAGTACGGGGGCACTGCCGGCAGTAATGGGCAGTACCGGAGTCAGTTCCAAGACACTACCGGGGGCGGTCCGCACAGTTACCTGGGCAGAACCGGGGTCAGTACCGTCAGCACGGGCAGCACCGCGGGCAGTACCGAGTTAGTACCCGTGTCGATATCAGGGTCAATACCGGCAGTACTGGATCAGTACCGGTGTCAGTATCGGGGTCCGCACGGTCCGTGGCCGTGCCCGTGGCCGTGCCGGCAGAGCGCGCGCTGCCCACCGTTATCCCCGAGCCGCTCACGTGGGCGCCGCGCGAGGGGGCGTGCCCCAGGCGGGGCGCTCAGCCAATGGCGAGCTGCGGGTGGCGGGCGGGCCCCAATGGCGGGGTGGGGGCGGGGCCTCGGCGGGCCCCGCCCCCCGGTAGCGGCGGGAGGACGCGGGCGGCGCGCGGGGCTGCGGCACCCACGGGAGGCCCGGCGGGACCGCAGCGGGAACGGGCACCGCACACCCCGCACACCCCCAACACCCCGCACACACCGCACACCGCGCCGGGACCCCGCTCCGCGCCGGGACACGGCCCTGGCAGCGCCTCCCGCCGGCACCGGGGTCCCGGCGGTTCCCGGGGCGCAGCGGACGCAGGTGGGTAACATCGGGACCCCGCGGCGGGAGGGCGGAGTTGGGGCACCTGTTGCTGCCCCGTGCCGGGGGCTCCGCGGCGGGCGGGGGTTCAGAGGCACCGGGGACCTCCGGAGCCAGGGCGCTCCCTGAGCCAGTGAGGAGCACAAGGGGGGCTGCGCCGGCCCCCACCTGCTGCCGCCCGGCCGCTGACCCTGATCCCAGCGCGGAACCTCGCAGCGGGGTCCCGGCGGCAGGAAGAGCAGGTGGAGAGTGGAGAGGGGATAGGAGCGCGGCCAGGGCTGCCCGGAGTCACCCGGTGCAGCACGGGGAGGGGGCGATGGGTCTCCCACTGGGGACACCTCCAGTTTGGTGGCCCTCGCAGGGGATGGGGAGGACGGCCAGGGCATGGGGTGCTGGAAAGGTCTTCCAGACGGCTTCCGACCTGGGAGCTGCTGCAACCTCCGTACTTCAGCGGAGCCCCTTAGGCTTTGGTGCCGCTGCCCCCTCGCACATCTAAAGCCCACCCTGAGGGGCTCACACAACCTGTCCCCTCTTAGCCGTGGTGACGGTGACTTTCTGTCTTCCAGGAAGAAGAGGGATCCCTGTGTCCCCACGGCCTTGCCGGAGGAAGGAGGAGCCGAGAGAAGGCTCTCATCGATCCTTCCCAGCTGTGCGGAGCAGCTGGGACTCAGCTGTGAGCGGCCAAACTGACGGGGAGGACGCTGTCCTGCTGCCTGCCTGGCCCCATCCCCACCTCACCGCCAACACCACCGCTGTCCCCTCTGTCCCCTGCCAATGCCGGCAGGTGGAGGCTGCACACACAGTCACTGCAGTGGCATCCCACGTGTGAGACCGAGCTGTGGGCTCTGTTTACTCCCGTGGGACAGAGGCCATGGGGGCTGCTCTTTCCACTGGGGCGATCGTGGCAATTTCTTTTAACTGTGTCATCGCGTTGCTCATCCTCATCCTCTTCCTCATCCTCTGCAAAGCCTGCAGGACCCCTTCATGTCCCGAGAAGACCCCATCTTCTGATGTGGATGAGTCACGGAACGAAGAGAAGTACCTGCTGCAGCCCTGATCTGCCCGATCTGGGGAGTTTGGTACCCGGCTGTGCCAAAGGAGTTGCCCAGCCTGGATGCTTGTGCTGGGACTGGGGTGCCAGACCAGGCACGATGAAAGCAGAGGGGACACCGAGCAGTTCACAGGGGCCGTGACAGAGGGCACAGTCCTTTGCCTTGGTGGTTGTAGTGCGTGAAGTTCCTGCAAGTGCCTGCAGTGGTCATGGGGATAGAGGGACAACAGATGGGGATGTGCTACACGGGCAATCGTGCCTGTCCCAGTGGCCAGCAAGCACAGCAGGAGCCCTGCCCTCATGTGCACCCTGTGCTTGGGAAGAGCCTGTGGGCCTGGGGCAGTGGCCATCACAGTGCAGACCTGAGCAAGGCTGGGTGGACGCTCGCAGAGGGGAGGCAGCAGGGCTGGCACAGGCACTTTTTCCCAAGCAGGCTGGCTGCTCAATGGTGGGCTGTGCCCAGGGGGACCCAAGCAGCCCTGGCCCTGCCGGCAGGGTGGGATGTTACCAGTCCAGATGTTAGGGGGTGGCCCTGGGGTGCTGTGTGTCCCCAGCCTCAGGATGGCATTTGGCACACATCTGCCCAAGCAGCCAGTTTGATGAGGCACGAGAGGGTCTGCATGGTCTGCCCGATCCTCCCCAGTCTGTCTGTCAATCCCCTCCAGCATTAGCACTAACGCTGCTAGGCAAACAGCCCTCTTCCTCACTGTGGGTGTGTCCCTGCCTTCCCTCCTGCCTACTCCCAGCTGAGGCCAGACCCTGGGATTTGGCCAGTCTGGGAGCAGCAGACATGCCCTTGCTGGCATTCCCATCTCCACTGACAGCAGCCTGGGGTGGCTTTTTCCTGGGAAGGTGGGAGATGTGGGGAGATGTTAGTGCCCAGACAAACAGCACTGAAGGTTCTTTGACCCTGACTGTTCCCTGGGGATCACAGTGGCTCTGTGGGGAGGGATGCTGGTGGTCCAGTGTGTCCTCAAGCCTGGCTGCTGCATCCCCTGCCCTGCCAGCAGGTGCCATGGGTTTTGGAGGGCTCTGCCTTGCCTATCCTAGAGCCGAGCAATAGCCATGGTCACTGCTGGCACAGCCACTGCAATAAGGGGACAGAGGGGTGGGGTGGGAGGGACACTGGCCAGGGTCCCTGCGCAGGCTTGGCCAGGCCTGGCAGAGCCTGGGGTTCCTCCCCATGTCAGGTGTAGCGAACACATCCCTTTGCAGCCTTGTTTTTACTAGACTAATAAACCGATTGTAGGACCCAGGTGGTGTCTCTGAGCTCTACCCAGCGCCTCAGAAATTTGGGGGAGGTGCTGTGTCCTGCCATCCTGCAGGGCTGAAGAGCCCCAGGGATGGTGGCTGACATGGCTGGAGGACTATGGGTGGTTTGCTGGGTGATAGTGATAAGGAAAGGCTCGTGTCCTCATTCATCTCTGGCTATTAAATACTGGGTGAGAAACCTGACGTGGTGTTTCATGCCTGCAGCATGTCTGCTTGGCCTGGGGATCAGTGAATGTCAGCAGGGAGCACTCCCCAGCCCCTGCACCAGAGGCACCGGGAGTTTCCAAGCTGTGCCTTACATTACAGGGATGCCTGTGGGGGACACGTGCCACCACACCTGTGTGGTGGGACGAGCGCCTCTGGTCCCCAGTCCCGGGAACTGTGCGCCAGGATCCAGCGGTGACAGCCCGACGCTCGCCGCTCATCAGCATGCGCCGGGGCCACCGCGGCTCCTGCTGCCACCGCAGCCACGCAGCAGATAATCCTCTGCCGCACAGCGCCGGAGCCGTGGGAAGGCTCTGCAAAGCCCGCCGCCCAGCCGCTCCCGCAGGCACCAGCTGGGCTGAGGCCCCCGGGGAGGGGGGAGCCGTGACCCTCCCGCAGCTGGTGAGCGGCAGCTGCTGCGATGTCCTCTGTGGAGGGATGGCACGTCTCTCTCCCGCAGTCATGGGCCGGGTTTCCAGCTACTCTCCGGCTTAGGCTGCCACCCCAAAATCCAGGGGACCACATAAATGGCTGTGGGGCTGCAGCTCAGCGCTCAGGCCGCCGCTCACGGGGGGACTGCCGGCCATGAAGCTGCAGTCCCAAGGCTTTCCTAGGGCTGCTGGGACCAGCCCTCACCTGCCCTCCATAGGGCTCTCACCTGGTGCAAACCCAGCCAAGGGCAGGGAATGCCGAGGGCTTGTGGCTCTGGGGGAGCGAGCACGGTGAGATCTGCCTGACCCTAGAGACGACCGCCCACTACAGCTCTCCCAGCACCTTCGTTTATTTGTCCGGGCACAGAGGCGAAGTGTTCCCGCTGTGCAAAAAGTGGGCGGCGCGGGCCCGTGGCTTGCATGCCAAGCAGCCGCCGATCAAAGCCGAGCTTGTTCGGCCGGCAGCTGCTGGCAGAGCAATCCCCCTCTCACGTCTCTTCCTTGCCCTCCGGCCCTCTTACCAGGCTAAGCAGCTTCTCCAGCTTCGCCATTTCCACCTCGGGACCCTTCTTAACCTCCTGGCCTTTCTTCTCCTGCAAAGAGAGCAATCAGGACAGAGCTTTGAGCAGGGAGGACTGCGGGAACGAGGAGGGGTCTGGCACAGGGATGGCTGCTGGACTGCTGTGTCCCAGCTCTCACCACGCACCGGAGGCTGATCCACAGGGAGATGCACCTGCCTGTCCATGTATTTCAAGCTCAAGGTACCATGATATGTTTTAAAGGTCCTTATGGGCTGGGGAAGGATGCTAAGGAATGGGAGTGGATCTGCTGATCCACAGTGACTAAAACCCTCTTCTGCTTCTCTCTTCCCAGTTTCTCAGCCTCATGGCACTGGACCCTCTGTAAGCCCTCCAGCTATTCCCCCAAGCTCTGGGGACGTGCCAGGCACGCAAGACTGTTACGGCAAAGACAGCAATGCAGGTGTCCAAACCTCCCAGAAACAGTCCCACCACACCCATCCCATACAGGTGCTCCTGGGAAGAGGCAGCCATAGGAGCAGGGATCATTCTTCTTGCACCCAAATGGATTTTCCCAGGAGGGCAGCTGCGTGCTGAGAGCCCCTAACCCAGCACAGAAAAGCAAGTCAGGGCTTCCAGATGTTAACTGGAGTGTCCCATGGGACAGCCCTGTGCCTCATAAAACACTGCAGTGCCAATCCTGGCACAAGGCCCAGCACAGGAAAGCATTTCCCACAGTCCTCCAGCACCTGTCCCAACCCTCCCAGGGGCTCCCTGCCTGAGTGCTAAAGCAAACCACCAGCATCTTGAGAGCAATCACACAGCACAAGGAAATAACCTGTCCAGTTCAGTCCTTGCTTGTTTGGGAGCAGCAGGAGCTTCCAAGACTGGCCGATGTCCCTGCTGGGGATACAAATTCCACTCAATGCTTTGGCAGCACATGTGCCCCCCTGCTGCGGGCTGAAGCATCAGTGCATTGCTCGGACCAGAGCTCTGGGACTTTGGGAAAGTGATAACTGGGTTTGGCCTCTCCAGGTTCACACCATGTCAGACACAGCTGCAGCAGAGGAATTTGCCAGCCTGCATGCAGCACAACAAACCCTCCTGCAGCTGGACATCTGCCTCATGAGGTTCCTCCAAAACAGCATCCCCACAGTCACCACTTCCCATCACATAGTGCTGCTTTCCGCTCACAGCCTTCCCCTTTGCCAGCCTGCTGGATCTCTCCTTGCCTCTGGATCGGGGGGGTACCCCTGCTTTGGGGCTGGGAAGTTCCTCTGTGCCCAGCATGGCTCTGAACACCCCAAAAAGCAGCTGCCGAGCACAGGTGAGCAGGAGGGCTGGTACACACTTGGGCAGGTGGGCTTGGGAGAGGTGGGTCCCCAAGCCTGCAGCAGGGAAAAGGGCAGGGAACCTCACTAACCATGCTTGGAGGCAGCCTGCAGAAAGCTGCTGTGCTGGCTCCTCTTGGCATGCCCAAAGCACAGCCTTTGCTCTCAGTGCTCTCAGAAGGCCAAGGGAGCAGGACTCAGCATCTGATGAAGGAGGCTGCCAGCTTTCCTCTCTCCCCACTTAGATCAGATCAATTCTCCTCTGAATCAGCACCTCTAATGGCCCTAGGTGCAGCAATTACGAACACACACCTTCTCTTCAGCGCTGGAAGAAACTGCCAGGGCACAATACAGAGAAAGTTGTAAGCCTGAATAGAACTCACTCTAGCAAACATGGGCATTACTAAGTGATGACAACAGGGAAAGAAGTCCCCAGGGGATCCCTGTGGTTTTCTCTCATCCCAACCCAGTTACGACCTTGATGGAGCCAAGGTTTCCGAAGCTGCTAGAGGACACTGCTGAGATGAAAGCAGTCCTGGGGGCAGGATGGGGATATTTGCTCCCAAGAAGACAGCAGCACTCATGTCCTGAGCACATAAAGATGTGTTATGGGTAAGCCAAGGTTGTTTCATTTACTGAGGTCATTGATTTCATGCTGGAATGGTCCTGGTTTGTACTAATGCCAGCAAGTGAGCAATGCCCTTCGTGGCTCTGGTCTGGGCACTTTGAGTGATGTTTGTACTAAAGGCCCACACCACAGCTGAGCATCTCTCTGAGCAAGAGCCTTGGGGTAAACACAGCTGCTAGAGGTATTTCAGGACTTAGCTATTTCTGCAGAAAAGCTGCTTTGCTGTCTGACACAGTTCCAAACCCCCCTTTGGCACCCTGTGTCACACACAGCACCCTGCACAGGTCCTCGGGACAGGCTAAAGAGGTAACTGCTTTTCTCAAATGGGAAAAGGAGATGCTGAAGCCACCTCCCCTCAATCTACCTCCATCCCAAGCCCTTTGCTCTCCCCACTGGTAGGGTCATAAGGGAGGCTCCCTGACTGATGCCCTCCAGGTGGTAACAGCAGGTCCCTGGTAATTGTGTCTAACCTCGCTGAACTCACCAGTCTCTGGCAAGGCTCAGCTCCTAGTCACTGAGCTGTCCCTAAAACTTTGACTTTCACACTGGCTCAGCTCCTTTGCTGCTTCTGAGCACGCTGCCACAAAGCCACACGCAAGCCTGTAATGAGCCGTAACTGAACCAGAGCCCTAATTTAACGCCACATAACCAGGCAAGCAGGATGACACAGGGAATGAAAATTATAATGTCCTTTTAGGAGCACTGGAATGGAAAGTTTCCCTTTTTTCCCCCATCTGCTTTTCCCGGGGCGCTTGTGCAGTGAGCTGGCCAGGCCGCTGATGGCTGGCTGTGGCACTGGCACAGCACCGTGGGATCTGCTTGGATGCACGTGGCAGCTTCCCACAAATCCAGGGGCTTCGCCTGCATCAGGCCTCCGAGGAGCAGCCCTTCTTGGAGCACAGCCATTGCAATTTCCCAGAGCACACACAAGGCAGGGGAAGCATCACCTCCACACACGGCTGCTGCAGGGCTCCCCCTCCCAACAGATGTCACAGCCAGGTGTGGAGAGGGCACTCATGGGGCACTGCCCTCCTGTGTGTAGCTGAGCCTGTCCTCCTCCTACATCCCTGCTTACACCACATCCATGGGGCTCATTAGGAGCTGAGAGGGAGCCAGGGCGCAACATCCTCTCCATGGAGCTCTGAGATGCAGAGCTGAGATTACATGGGAGGTCTGCCCCTGAGGAGCTCATCCGATGGGTACTGGATCTGCTCACAGCAGTGTTTGTATCAATTTTATTGTTAGCAGTTTCCAACAAAATGCTCCTGGCTGAAATGGTGATGAGGGACATGAGCAGGGTAAGAAAAGGTGCTGCGTGGGGATGGACTCTGCCCTGATAGTGAAACATAACCTCAGGGAGGGGAGAGGGGGAAAAGACCCTCTCCATATCCTCATGCTGCTGTGTTTGTGGCCAGGTTCCTCACTGCTCTCCCACTCCCTCTGCCTTATGCCTGGGATCTTCTCTGTCTCCCCAGGCAGGGAAACTGAGGCATGGGGCTGCTTGCCCTACAGAAGTGTGCAGGACCCTTGGTGGTCCTCTCAGCCCCAAAGTGAGTACTGGCACTGGAAGTGAAAGAGGAGGCGGAAGATGGCTGAGGTGGAGCCCCAGGGGCAAGGGTAGAGTAAGGATAAGGACAAAGATGAGGACAAGAATGAAGATGAGGAGCAGCTACTTGAAGATCCATTCCCCTGGGAGCCCCAGCCCCACCGCTCCCCATACTGGCACATACTGAATTCTACATTCAGGATATGGGATTCATTTAAACTGAATTCCTGTGTCTCAGCTGATGCCTTCATTCCCTAGTTGAACAGCATACTGCTGAGTTAATAAAACTCTCCCATAAAAGCCATTCTACTGGCATTTTTCAGCA